ATTAGCAAAGTAAATACAATTGAAGGCCTTAGATATAATCTGTTGGTAGCCTGAAATATATCTATGCTTGTAGTCATTATGAAGGAGCCCTGAGAGCTTTTGCTAGCAATGTTCTGATCTAAGAGTTAAACTCTAATTTGGGAAAGTTATATTATGGAGGATTTTTGGAGGGATATGTAATCCATTTATTCAAAATATTCAAATTTTATTCTTAGGTAGAGTCAGATCAGCAAATTCATACACCTGCTGATTAGTCACTTGCAGGAATTAGTGCTAACCAAAACAAATCTCAGTGGCTTCCTTGGTCCCAAACTTTTTGACATTGGGAAGGACCATTTAATTTAATAAATTGACAGTGTGATTTATATAACAACCTGGAAGAACCAACCATTTAATTTAGTTAATTAACATTAAAATTTGTATAACACCTTCATATGTGTTTGCAGCTACTCTCCTGTGTATACGCTAAGTCAGGTTTTTGAACTTGTAATACATGCTGAGGTCTAAATTCTTTTATTTAGAGATCCTAATTACTTTATTGTTAAATATATTACATGGTGGTTATACTGAGGGTGTGCTTATTCTGTCATGGGTGCTAAGATAAAGGCATGGTGTATGTCCCTTCTGTCTTTTTTCCCTCTTCTCCAGTTCCCCATACTCAGTTACATCTGATTGAATTTATATGTTTAATATGTGTATAATGCTGTTTTACTCTATAGTTATCCACCCAGATGTGTATTATATATTTCTCAATTCTGAACAGATCTTAGTAAATCCCAGCTAATGCTAATGAGAATTCTGGGGCCTTGATGGTGTAATATCAAAGTTTTATTCACCAGTAAGACTTCTTGAGTTTACTTCTTAAAAGTCAATATTTAGTCATTTTTTTATGGTCAGAGGAAATGCGATTAAATTAAGGTGTAATTTGTCCTGGAGTGGTTTTGTAGTTGACCTGGAACATGAATAAAAGGAACAAAATTAAATGCTTTTTTGGCCTATTTTCCTGGGTAAGTTGATTACAGTGACTACCTACCTGCTGATATGTTGAAAAGATATTCTTAATATTTAAAAGTATCAAGATACATCAGAAATATCCCATTTGTTATGGATATGTAGAGTTTTCTGTCTCACATAGGCACTATGCTTCATGTGAAAATGAGTTTGTATCTTATTCAGTTTTTTAATTCCCAATTCTTGTCAGTATATATGCTGTATTAAATATAAATATTGATTAAATTAAATAATTATGTATTTGGTGAACTTTAAAAAAACTTTATATCTACTCAGATCTTTTATATTTGACACTCAGCATTTTATTATTGGAGAGAAAATGATCATGGTTGATGATGGAGGAAAAGAAATGATCTGAATATAGTTGGTTCTTAGATAATGATATTTCAGCAAGTAATGAATTCTGAAGTGTACGTTTTGTATTTTGAAACAGACAATGTTTTTTATTATAGAATATACAGTCTTCTAAAAATAATGAAATATCTAGGGATAGGTAAACAAATTTTTAAAACTGTATTTTCAAAAATCAGTTCTTCAGGTGCTGGGAATGTAGCCGATCGTGTTTTGGCTCAGCTCTTGACGGAAATGGATGGCATTGAACAGTTAAAGAATGTGACAATTTTGGCAGCTACTAACCGCCCAGATAGGATAGACAAGGTAAGAAAGAAGGCAGTGTGGGCACTGTAAAATCAGGAACTGTATCATTTGATTGTTTTGGGTTTTTCATGTCAAATTACTTTCTACTTGTCATTTAGAGGATACTTACCGATCTTAAACTAAAGGAAATGAAGACAACAGAGAAAAGCTTTTGTTTATGTTTTTATTACTTATGGTTTGCTATTAAAGAAATTTTTTTGTTAACTCCTTGAATTTCCCCTCCCCCATTGTTGCATCAAACTCTCAGTGTATTTCCCTAGAGAACTGAAGTTCTGAAATTCTTTTTTTGGTTTCATCTGATTTATGTTAAATTTTTTTAACGTTTTAATTAATATTAAGATAAACAGGCTCTTTGGACTCAAGTTATTATCAACAACTTTCTAGAACTTCCTTGAAGGCCTAGCAGTTGCTTTCAAAGTAATTAGAATAAATTGGATTTATTTATGGCAATGGATTTTATTTCTCTTAAAAATTTCCTTAGACTGTAGCATTAAATTAAGCTATATAGGTGCAGAATTAACACTATCAAGCTATTGCTACCACTGTTTTTCCCCTGGTCATAGTTTAATCAAGGAGTTCACTAACGTTTAAGTGCCTAATTTATACTTCATGTATACTTTTTTAACAAGTATCTAAATTTAGAGTAAAAATTTACTCCTAGTGCATGAACCAGTTTCTCTTTTTCAGTTAATGTTATTGCCTCATGTATATGACCTTATGAGCTCCTCCCTCCCTATGCCCATATACATGGACTTTAAGTTTTCAAAATGGCATTTTTTTTTCAAATGATCTTTTTGAAGATTTGAAAGAAGTTTTTATGTGAGAAGAAAGCCTTGCTTTCGTTCAGTTAGGTATTTTGCTTTGCAATAAAGTCCCTTGGTCAAGTGCAGGTACAAACACTTTGGACCTTAATAAATTGTTCCCTTTCTGATGTAGTGCTATGTAGGAAGCTAGGTGAGTTCTGAACATTTATAGAATCTGGGTTGGTGCCCAGGTATCTCCGATGTCTATTAAAAAAAAAAAGATAGGACTATATTTTTAATGAGGATTAAAGAGAGTGTTGAAAGAGCCCTTAAAGGTTACTTAATCTCACCTTTTGGTTTCACTGAATCTAGAAAAATCATCTTTCTCCTGCTATAAAAATGTATAAGAATACATTGTATTTTTATGACATTTGTCTCTTGGTTACCCCATGGCTAATGAGCTCTAAAATTTCTTCAGTTTGTTTCTCTACAGTGTCTAATCTAATAATGTCCTGCTTTGGTTTCTTAGTATTATATGTCCTTGTTATTAGACACATTTCTTGAAGTAGGACTTTAGGCTTACAGTAAACTTCACTGGATTCTTCTAAATCAAGCTGTATGATTTAGCCTGGTTCATGCTTATATTAATTTTTGCTTGCCATGTAACACATTACCCCAAATTTAACAGCTTCACATAATACTCATTTAAGTGTTTCTGGGGGTCAAAATCTGGGCATGGCATGATGGAGTTGTCTGCTCTGGTACTGGACAAGGTGTTGACCAACTGCATTCTCATCAGGAACTGATATTCTCTTCTAAGCTCACATTGGGGCAGAATTCACATCTTGTGATTGTAGACCTAAGGACTAAATTTCTTTACTGTCTGTCAGCTGGGAGCTTCTCTCAGCTTCTAGAGACCCACATGTGCCCTTACATCTTTAAAGACAGCAATGGAGAATCTCCATCATATTTTATCCATCTCATGCTTTAAATTTACATTACCAGTAAAAGGCTAGTCTCTTTTAAAGTTTCACCTGATCAAGTTAGGCCCACCAAGGAAAAATTTCTCCACCTTCGAGTCAGCTGGTTCAGGACCTTAATTACATTTGCCACAGCCCTTCACAATAGTACCTATATTAGCATTTGATTGAATAACTGGGAGAAGGTGTATGTCAATCAGAGAACCAGGATCTTGGAGCTGAAATAGAATTGTTCCTACCACAGTGCTCTTTAGCTTCTTCCCCAACCCCTACATAAGTTCTCGCATGGGCATTAAGAACAACTAACTTATCCTTTACTGTCCTATGATTGGCTACCAACCAGCTCTTTTGAAATGTCCTTGTTCTGTGGAATCTGTCTTTTCTCAGATGGAGCATTTCTCTGCCTTGCCTTGTTCAGATATATCTTTCTTCAAATTATACATATAATCTTTCTTAAAATAGAACAGGATAAATGAATTTAAACTCCTTTATTAAGCAAAGGATACATTTTTTTCATGTTCTTTATATGTGTAACTTTTTGTAGGACTATTATTTAATACAGTAGAATTGTTGACTTATAATCTCTTTTGCTTACTTTTCCCTCTGTAAGACCTGGATTGAATCCCAACTGTTATGTTTTGCCGTAAGGTGAAATTTATCCTAGTTTTAACCTACACCTGGTATAAAAGACCTCAAGAAATTTTTGAGATAAACATATATGAGATTCTTGGGTCACTCTAAGGTTTTGGGCCTTTTTTCAGTCTCATCTTAGAATAAGTCAAAACCCCAAAGGTAATGGTAAATGACTTCTATTCTCTTCAGGATACTTTGATCTGTGGGTATCTTGGGTCTCTTGGAGAAAATGCTTAACCAGATTTTGGGTGGAACTTATCTCCAAAGGTGGATGATTAAAGGGATGGAAGTGGTTCTTTGTTTTCATATTTCCATTTTTTTGCCTTGTTTTTATGTGTTTCTTGCTTGCTAATAATATTTCCCTTAGAAGGCAGATGCTATGTTTCATTAATGACAACTTGTCTAAGTAACAGTCTTTAATATCACAGAGTATGAGAAATTAGTTTGAAAAATATCTTGCCAGCATTCTAGTTATATTTTTGGTCTTTTATAAAATGGTACCTTTAATGCCTCATTTCTAAAATTACCTAATTATCCAAAATAAATGTTTTAGGTGTCAATATTATTGCACACTGGTAAAACCTTTTGACCAGCCTTTGCTTCAAGAGGCTGTAGAGAGAAGTATAAATACATACAAACATATTTACATATGCATATATATTTATATGTATGCTTGTCTATGTGTATCTATACATATATATGCATACATCATATATATGCATAAACATACTTATATACATGCTTTGATTAATTTTTTAAAAAGTTAGAAATCTAACTTATTTTAACCAACTAATTTTGGGTAAGCACATTTAAATTAAGATATTGAAAGTGTTTGAAATTATATACAAAGACTTAATTTTCACTAGGTCATGGGGATCTAAAGATCTTTAATTTGCTATTCAAATTTTTCAAAATTTATAATATTTAATTTTAATAGATGAAGTAATAATGAAATAATAAAATTATAACTGACCATAAAACATAAAATTGGTAAATGGAAAAAGTATTTTTCAGTGGTATAACAACAGTTACAAGATCATCAAATGATATGCAGTGCTTTCAAGTACAGCTTTGAATTCAGTACTTTGAACCATGGTCTAAATGTTCTGTTTATGCAAAAAACTATTTTAAATAATCAGAGATTTTTGTAAAAAATATTTTAATTGTTTTCTATTTCAGGTAAAGTTCTGTATTCATATGCAATATGAATTTTATTGAGTGTACTTCTGTTATTACTCAGATGATGTATACTATATCAAAAGTGTATTTTCCAGATCTTTTTCTCTAAACCTTTATAAAATGTTACATATCAATGTTAATATTAATGTAATATTAATGTTACATTTTATAAAAGTTCAGAGAAAACTCCTCCTCCTGCATATAGATGAGTGAAGAGAAATTGTATTTTCAAGAGTCCATTTTGCATAAGAATGACAGGATGTGAAGGACAAATGTATATTTTATAAAATATACAGCATTATTTGAATATTGTTTAATGTTACTATAAAAAAGTTTTAGGACGTGGGTGATTAGAATATGGTGTATAAAATGTGCCCTAAATATGCTGTTAGAAACAAAACAGTCTTAAGAAATGATTTAAAAAAAATTCCTATTATAATGAAATGAATAGACAGAGTTTTCACCACCTGTCTTGTCTGGAGGAAATAGTAGTAGGAAGAAAACAGGAAACAGAAGAATTAAAGTAAGTTTCCTATGCTGATGCTGAAAGGTAGAGATTTTGTCTTTGGCCTTAAACTGGAAAGAAAATTAAAAAGGACTGTTCTGGTATCAAAGGAATAATGCCTGTAGTCCAACTTTGGCTACATTTAATTAAGGTGTTTGGCCTTGTAAATTGGGTAGCATAGTTTACAATTCTATTGCCTGTTAACCCACAATCGCTATGTCATGATGACCTTAAGTTAGTGTGTTGGAATGGAGAATATTCTTGGACTGTCAGAGGACTGAAATTGATATCATTATATGACCCATATGTTGTTCATTTTTAGTGTCTTTTTTGATCAATATTTCAGTTTAATATAGTATGGGGAAACTGAAGCTGGAGAACCCATGGGATTTGGTGATTGAGCAAGGGAAGTGAGATGTGTCTCAAGAATCACATTATTCTACTTCCTGCTATATCATATTTACATGTCAAACACGTTAGCTGTAATGTAGCATACTAGGTTGAGTAAGGTGTTTGCTTGGGGGTCTCTGATAGTATCCTGAAGTCTCCACAGACCTTTTACCCCAGCTCCCAACATTCCTCCTCCTGCATATAGATGAGTGAAGAGAAATTACATCCTCAAGAGTCCATTTTGCATAAGAATGATAGGATGTGAAGGACAAATGAAGATTAATGAGATTGTATGGTGTCATGTAGTCACATTGTTTTTAGATTGATGATGGCCTGGATTTCCACAGCATCAGGAGACTTTAGAACAATGAACAACTAAATTATTTTTGATGTCCAAATAATATTTAAAAGCCCAAACTCTAGGAGTTTATATTGTTCTTTGTTAGACTGTTGCTTATGTGGACCCTTTAGAGGAGTATAGTGTTCAATCCGTGATATTTTGTACATTTGTGTTGCGTATTAAGGAAGAAATGATCTTGTCTTCTTTCTCTGGTGTGAAACAAGCTTCAAAAATTTTTTTATAATGAATCTTTTTAAATTTAGTCCCTTCGGTTACTT